AGTCCGCAGCGATCGCATTCCTCGCGGGCTTTGGCGCACGCAGCCGCCTCCTTCTCCCGCGTCCCCTCTTCCGTCTCGTGCTCTCCGTCTCATTTGAGAAAGGTCCATCTCTCTGCTTCCTTCCATCTATTCTGTATTTTGCCATTTATTTATATTTTGAGTTCTCATATAAGAGGAACCATGTGCTGTCCGAGCTGGTGTGTCTGGCTGGTGTAGTTTCCCGTTTCCTTTGCGCCATCCGCCTGAGACCCTTGACAGAGGGGATGGTTTTAGTTACCCGTAACGCTTTTTAGTTCCCTGAAAGCCTAACCAGGGCCCTGAATTTCAAAGACAGGAAGAGCTCATGAGAAAACGTCTCTCTTCCCGGTAAGACACGTGGACAGTGCCTGAATCTGTTTGTTCCAGATGTCCCGGGTGGCCGCTTCCCCGCGTTCATTTCCTCCCACACTGGCGCGACTTCCCCCGGAGAAGGTCTGGCCTGGTGTTGGTGGGTGAGAAGAGAAACATCCACCCAGTTCCACCTTTGCCCGGAATGCCCATGACAGCGTGGGCGCAGGAGAATACCTGCTCTGTAGAACGGGTCCATTCGCACATTAAAACCTTCCAAAAAATTCCTTTTTCTCCCTTCAGTTCACAAAGTAGCAGACTTGCCACAGGACGGTGACCCCGGAGTAGCTGTGAGCGGCTCTTGCAAGACATTCTTAGTCTTTCACTATTTTTAAGAGCTTCTGTCTTGTGAGCTAAGGAGCTATCCATAAACAAGTTTCCTAAAATATCCCTCTGAAAACTACCATCTGGCACCTAAACACCAAAAAAATAACTCACTCCTGTGAAGCCCTCCTCCAGCCACGTCTGTAACCCTTTCGCCGCCTTAGGTGGGTGTTTTGGTGGGGGTGTCCCGTTGGCTTCCCTTCATCTGGAAATCTGTATTGAGCAGTAACACTGGGACAGCTGCTGTGCTAGCAAAAGTAGATGTAAAGATCACGTCTGTTCAGTCACAGATGACTCAGGAGACAACAGGTCAATAGAAGAGACAGATGTCAGTGCAAAATGAAAGTCACAGCCGCTGGGAGAAAAATCCCACGGTCCGGAGTGAAACAAGCGCTGAACTGCTCATCAGCTACCGACGTGGGAAGTCCGCTGGAAGGACACAGTCTTGCAGCATTTAGCAGAGAGCGGCGGGCTGGGAAACGTTACAAAACACAGCTTTGTGGGTCTCCCAGTGTCCTTCTGACGTTTGTGGCAATGGTAGTCTCTTCAGTACAGGCCTCCCGCCAAGGGAGGTCTGGTCACGTGACCTGTGCCTTCAGGTACAAGGTAGGTGAGTGACCCACAGCCTGGCCGTGCGCACGGCTTTGCAATCTACTGAACTCTGGTCTCCTCAAATGGCACTTAGCTCCTGGGTCTTAAAAAGTGTCCTACTGAGAGACACCGTGGTGCTATCTTCAAAACAGGTGCACAAATAAAAACTCCACAGATTTACCGCTTTCTTCCTGTTTGCTATCAGTACGAGTGACCAGCTCTCCACACTACACAGTGAAATTGCATCAAGGAACAGAAAAGTTGATGCTAGCGAGTCCAAAAATTACAGGCATCACCTGAAGAAACACTGCAAAAATCTGAGCAATGAGATGCAATCACTGGTTTGAAGAAAAGCCAGTCTCACTGAAAATCATTTCAAGCCCCAGGTTTTCGGTGACATAAACTTTCAGTTCTGAGGCCCCTGTTTTATTTCCTTTATGTTACACCCAGGGCGATGACACGTAATTGTTTCCATAAACATGAAAAACATCTGGACATAGAGCAAAATAATCAGGAGATATTGTAAAAATCTTACTTTTAATAAATTTATTAAATTGTTTATATCATTACTATGTGAACGCTGAAGTCAATTCTGAGTTCTGAATTTCTTCTAGAGAATGAAATTACAAGTGAATTTTAAGCCAAAGCATTAGGCTTAATAAAAACCCTAAAATGGATAACTTGGGGACGAGTATAAAGTTAAATGGACTGCAGCAGCCTTGGGTAGGGTTGAAGGAGGCTTGTTTTATGTCACTTCCTTTTGACATGCCATGGTTTTAATTCCAGAAACTGATTCTTCTGTATCAGACTAACACATATTTTAGGCGTTTGAGGTTTCTGGTTTGGATATGATTTCCAGTAAACATCTTTATTTTGTCTTCAGTCATTATTTACCTATGGTGAAAAGGACGACTTAAAAACACACTGACAGACCCCACGGAAGTCACAGGTGGGACGCTTCCCTCTGGCTTCAGACCACCCTGAACACCAGGTCGTTACCCGCACCGGGAGTGTAACTAAAATACCAAGAACAAGCAGGCAGCTCCCAGGTGAGAAATGCTTATGCTCTAACCCTGAAGTGAACTTTGGATCTTTTTCTCTTCGACACGTGTTTATCGTCCACAGCCCCGGAGCAGCGTGCATCCCTCCCATCCCCCTCCACACACATCCACCCAGGAAAGCAACCAAGACTGAGAGTACCAAAGTTTTATTTGTTAAGTCCACATTCTTAGCTTACAGACACCTACATTCTGTAGAAGACTCTTTTCTCTCTGACAATACATAGACTGGCCAGAAACCAGGGAAAAAGTCCTTGGATCACAGCCATCGTAAAATTTGATTTAATGCTCCTGAAAGCGCTCACTCTCCCCTAAATTCCTGTGACAAGCTTCAGCACGAAGTGTAATCACCACATTCAGTTTCAAAGTTCAAATGCCTGTCCCTCCGATAGGTAAGCACACGCCCACAGCACAGGATGACAGAAAAACCTTAAGAGTGGGGAATAACCCCTCCTGCAGAGGGGCCTGGTCTGGGCCCCACACCAGCTCCTCCCTTGGAGACACAGGGCTGAACCACTGGCCTAACAGCCCTTGTACTCTGCAGGGTGCTTACTGTTGGGACAGACTTGTAAACTTTTGCCTGCTTTCCCTTGACATTTGTCCTGTTTTCTCTGATTCTCAAAAATATTTTAAAATTCTGCCTGGTTCTTTTATCTGCGAAAGCTTCTCACCTCACTTAAGAAGTACTGACTTGAGGCTTGGCATTGAAATTCAGGATAAAAAAAGGTTTCATTCTGCATTTGAAAAAGCACAAAATGGCTCTTTATTGGAGAGGGAAGATAAAGGCATTCGCATGTACAGTCAGCCCTCCATACCCCCAAGTTCCGCATCTGACCAAGTGCAGTTCAAAATTATTTGGAAAAGAAATCGCATCTATACTAAATACGTACAGGCTTTTTTGTCGCATTATTCCCTAAATAGAAAAGCAACTATTTAATATAACACGTGCACTGCATTAAGTATACGTAACCCAGAGGTGATTTATTAAGTATGTAGGAGGATAGGCACAGGTTATATGTGACTAATACAGTTTTATACAAGGGGCTTCAGCATCTACACATTTTGGCATCAAAATTTTTGATACCCAAATGAGGAGGACGTTTACTCCTGGACCCAATTCCCCCTGAATCCGGAGGGGTGATTGGATGGCCCGTGAATTTATGGTTCCACTTGAGAGAAGGGAGGTCAGTCCCTGTGTTTTAAACTGATGAAATAATAAAAGGAGGAGTCTTTCTCACAAAAAAAGAAAAAGAAGAAGAAATGGAATGCAACATAAGAACAACGGAAGAAAGCTAAGCAGGAATATATATACTCTTTCCTTAGAGTCAGCACAGCAAATGTCAGTCTGACATTTCCTTTAAGAGCAGACTGTTATGACAAAGCCAGAGAAATGGAGCAGTTATGCGTGACAAACCCGTCACCGTGACACCTCTAGAATTGCTCGAAGTAGTGGTAGCATGGGAAAATGCCAAGGGATATTCGAATGTCCCTCTTCATTGTGTTCACCAGGGCAGACCCAGCTGACAGAGCCAGGAGCACGAGGGTGTCCTTCTTCTTGGCACCTTGCTCATGCCTTTGAAGTAACAGCTCCCACCCTCAGGGCCTTTCCACACTTTGCTGCCTCCACTACCCGCCCGGCTGTCAGGACGGGAACTCAGTCAGCTTCGCATTACTACTGTTTAGCACGGGGAGCGGCGCCTTGCCAGGAACTGAGCTTTGCAAAGACACTTTAGGTAGAACTGGTTGTGTGTCTGTGTGAGTGCGGAAGATCATACACAGAACAGAGAAGCACTGCCACAAAGAGGAAGCCGGTATTCTTCTACTCCTTTTGCTAAGAGAGGAAAAGCCCTGGCTATTACACACCACACAAACACAGGAGGACGCCAATGGTGGAAAGACGGCAGACAGGTCGAGGACCTCCGGACCCAAGGAACTCTCCTCTCGGCACTGCGCTGAGTGTCCTGAGATTTCTTCTTAGCTCAGACAGCTCAGACCTGGAAAGGCAGCAATGTAGAAACACCCAGGAGCACTGGGAAACTAAAAAGCCCTGAGAGAAACTTACTGTCTCTCCTGCCAAGGGACCAGAAAAGTGACAGAGCCAGGAAGACACAAAACACAGGCTGTTCTGCTCCAGTGAGGCACCACGACGCCACCCACAGTAGCAAGGGCACAGTGGAGGTAAAGAGGTGCCCAGCTCTCTGCCAGTGTCACAGAAGGCTGAGCTGGGGACCACAGCCTTCATCCCCACTACCACAGTCCCGGGGCATCTGTACAGACCTGTGTGAGCAGTGACCGGTGCCATGAGCATCCCCATCCCTACCAGGGAAGCGCTGACAGAGGCCTAGGGGGAGCTGAATGCCACCGCACTCACCCCAAGTGCCAGCGGGGAACCTGGACTCCAGTTTTCAATGAAAAATCATTCATATGAGCTGGGCATGGTGGCACATGCCTGTAATCCCAGCACTCAGGAGGCTGAGGCAGGAGGATCACCATGAGCTCGAGTCGAGTCTGGGCTACATAGTGAGTTCAAGGGCAGCCTGAGTATATAGCAAGACCTTGTCTCAAAAAAAAAAAAAAAAATTTTCGTACCTAGAAGCAGAAAAATCTCTGGAATGAAAAAAAAGACAACTGATAGATGCAAGCACTGCAATGACACCGATGTTGGACTTGTCTGATGAGGATTTACAGCGGCCATAATAAAAATGTTCCCACAGGCAATGGCAAACGCACTTGAAACAAATGAAGAAATACAAAGTCTTAACAAAGAGATGACAATTCTCAGCAACTAGAAGTTATAAAGAAAAAAACAGAAAGAAATTTGAGAAATAAAATATACCATAAATGAAATGATAAAAATCGATGGATAGGCTCAAAACCAAAATGGACTAGACATAGGGAAAAATAATCAGTGAACTTTAAGACCGGAAAATAGGCTGAAATACACACACACACACACACACATACACACACACACACACAGCCTCAGGAAACTACAGAACTAAAACAAAAACCTTGTGAAACTTTCTACATTATTTAATACATTTCAGCTGCAAATTATATTACCTACAGGTCTTTGTGGCTGGCCTCATGGCAGCTAAAGAATGATTATCATAGGAAGGGCATATAAAAATCTTTGCTGTATTAATACAATATCTGTATTGGACCCAGGTAACCCCAATGCTAAAATAGCCTTTGAAGGTTCGTATGTTGGAATGCAAGTGTGAAGTCAATAACAGGGGGAAATCAAGTTTGTTTGGTCAGATGTCAAGTCCTCAGACACAATGTTAAGTGACAGGTGACACATTCTTTCCACATGCCTTGAGCATCAACATGACAGCTAGGCCCAGAACAGCTGTGCTGCTGCTGGGGTCATTCTTGTGCTCTGCGAAGTGTTTTTGCCTCCCATCCCTGTGACAAGTGCCAGCCCACCTGTGCCGACAGGTTTCACCCTAAAATTTCACCCAGAAAACACCCAGTTTTAACAGTCTAAAAGAACCAAATCGAGGGCTACTTTCAACTTCTATTAATTACCAGTGAACAAAATACAATTTTTTGCACCAATGTAAAATTTGATAATAGGTAGATATATTCAAATCTTCTCTCAGAGTCCAACTTGTCAGAGCCATTAAATCTGAAGAAATCCAATCCCAATTTTTTTTTTTTTAAAAACCACCAGATTAATAACTTAGCTTTTGAGGGAGTGTACAAAAAAAGGGAAAAGGAGGATTTCAGAAGTATTTGGGCTTCCATTCATTTTTTGATTAAAAGTAAAAAACAACAAAACCCCAAGCTAAAAAGAATACAGAACCACTTTCAAATTCTTGTAGAGACGCTAGTGTAGGGGCTGGGGATTTAGCTCAGCGGCAAAGCGTTTGCCTGGCAAGTGCAAGGTCGTGAGTTTGGTTCCTGGTACCGGAGAAAAACCAAAAAAAAAAAAAAAAAAAAGAAAAAAAAAAGAGACGCTAGTGTAACATGGACCATTCCAACCCTATTAATTAGGCTAGTGTTTGCCAATACCATAAAAGGTAACTGTCAATAACGCAATTCTAGTATCTGGTGTCCAGACAGTCTTCACAGCTACTTCTCCGTGAAGGCAAGTAGAAAAGCAGTTAGCCCAAAGTCTGCCTTTCCTCCCAGAAGAACAATGCATGTGATTCTCACACATTTCGTCTGTACGGGACGTATCAGGAACACCTCCCACTGCCCTGCCGAGTCCAAAGGTTCCCTGAGATGTTTGGAGTCTCGGTTCTAACTCCGCTTGCCAATTTCTAAACAACACGACAGTGTGGGCGCGGGACTGTATAAAACGTAAGAAAGATCCTCTCAGAAAGACTCAGGGTATGTTTTTGGCTTTGGTTTTTTTTGGAATTAAAAGAATAAAAAATCAGTCTTCCTCACTGAAGATTGGCAAATGTGTTTTCAGCTTCAAAATGTCTGCCACAGGCTGTTTTCTTTCTTGATAGAAGCTGAGTCCGGTGATGTGTTCAACATCTGTAACCCGCGCTCTGTGTAACTTCAACAGCTCCTCGATCCATGAAGGTTCACTCTTCTCATGCTACGAGGATGGAAAATAAAGAAGAAAAGTCACCGGAGAACACAGAGTGCCCCTTCCCACTCAGCGCTCCCTCTCTCCCATGCAATCTGCTTTGATATTTTGGAAATGGCAGCTGCCGTAAGATCTGTTAGGCATTGAGGGGTTGGGGATATAGCTCAGTGGCAAGGTGCCTGCCTGGCAAGCGTGAGGTCTTGGGTTCGATTCCCGGTTCCAACAACAACAAAAAAGACTTGTTGGGCATCATCCCTATATTTGAGTAGCTTGCCCTCTATGGTAAGCATGCAAGCTTATTTACATGGATCGATTTTGGGAAAAAAGAAAGCATAGCTTAACAGCTAGTTATATACTGCATAGAGACTGCGAGGAGCGTCATTCATGTGGAGTTAAAAAAAACTACTAGAAAACTAAGACTACAAGGTAAGGTAGAAGAGGAGGGGAACTGCTGTGAAGAAACCTGGCTGGATGAAAAATGGGGTCAAGATAGTCACAAAGCACAACTTCACTTCCGCTGAGAGGAAGAGCTCAGAGGAGAGGTCAGAAAAGAATTAGAGGCAGATACGCTCGCGAACGGAAGCTGAGGCGGGGGTTGCATCAGGAGTAGGGGTGGAAATCACGCATCCTCATGCCAGCGTGTTTGCGAGACGGGCCACGGCACGGAGTTGGGTGAGGGAAGTGTTTGCCGGAGGCTGGGCTATGCCTGTCCTCTGAAGACATTTGCCCAAAAAGGTCCACACACCCTTGGGACACTATTAGTTGAAAATGATAAATACAGACTTTGTGTATACAAAACAGACCAACCACTTCCCTTTCCCCCAAGGTTCCAGCTGCACACCCTTCACACTCAGGCTCTTTCCCTGCACAACCTTGACTCTGGGAGTAGACTCCTTGATCACTAGCTGTATCTCCATTACAGAATTTAATAAAAGTGTGATTATCTACAGTGGTGGCATGATAGCTTTTGGAATGGCTGAGCTGGAAAAGGAACTCAACGCCTGGCACAGTGTGGCACTTGCAAATATCTCAGCTGACGAGATGGACGCATAAGCCTGCGGCTGCCTTCTCCTTTCTGGCAGGAGAACAGAGAGGTGAAATTTAGAGAAATTTTACACAGTAAAAGTGGTGGAACTTTCCGGAAAGACAGAAACGGTCCGGGACCCTAGCGGTCCTGCAGCATCCCTGAACTTCCTGTGTGGTGTGATGGTCAGTCTCCACATTACACCACTGTGCAATTTCTAAGTCCAAGTCCACTCAAGAGCCGTGTTTTTTTCCATAGTAGTGTCCAGGGTAGACACACATGCAAACGTGTGCGGGAGACAAAAGGACCCTACTTACGGCGCAGCTCTCGCTGTTATCGGGCCGGTGAGGCAAGATGAAGGCCACGGTGTCTAAGTTGCTACAATACGAGGGGGTCCCGGATGCGTTTTTACAGCTGGTCAGCACCACGAAGAAGTGGGTGGGGATCAGAACATCTTGGTTACGGATGCGTGTGCTGTTCCTGTAAAACACACAATGCTCAGCTTCAGACAGAAGTCGCTTTCTTCTTCATTTTTCTTAGTCCGTGTTTGCAGGACACAATGGATAGACTCATTGTGGGGAGTTGTGCACGTATGTGACACATCTTAATTCTTTGTATGTCCCGTCTCCTCCCCTCCAACATCTCTTCCCATCTGCAAAAGATCTACACCCGTTTCCTACTGTTTGTATTTATTTTGCTTTTTATTTATACTCTGGATTTCTCTTATAAGAGAAACCATACATGCCGGGCATGGTGATGCATACCTGCAATCCCAGCACAGCACATGGGAGGCTGAGGCAGGAGGATTGCTCTGAGGGCAAAACCAGCCTGTATAGCCTGGGGTGTACAGTAATTTCAAGGCCAGCCCAAACTACAAAATGAGACCCTGTTTCAAATAAGTGAGACCTGGTTTCAGAAAACCAAAACCAAAACACCAAAAAACCCATATGACATTTAAGCTTGTGTGTCTTATTTATTTCACTTAACATTATGGATTCGGGATGCATCCATTTGCCTATACATGACTCAAATTTATCCTTGTTTGTAACGGAGCTGTGGATCATTGGGACAGAACAGAGAACACGGAAATGAACCCAGGCACACGCAGCTACCTGATCTTTGACAAAGGGGCCAAAAATATCCACTGAGGACAGATGGCCTTTTTAACAAATGGCGCTGGGAAAACTGGCTTTCCACATACAGCAAGTTAAAGGTAAACTCCTATCTCTTTCCCTGCACTAAACGAAAATCTAAACAGTTCAAAGATCTAAATATTAATACAGAAACAATTTGCTGAAAGAAAAAGCTTGGTGAAAATCCTGAAGTCATAGGCAAGCACTTTCTGAACAGAGCTATTTTTAAAGAACGTTTCAACAGAGCATGTTTTCAACACTTCTCAAGTCCAAGCTGAGTCAAATAATGAAATGTATTATATGAGCTTAGGTAATCATAATGCCCCAGAGCCGGGGATATAGCTCTGTGGCATAAGCACCTGCCTGGCAAGAGCAAGGTCCTGAGTTCGATTCCTGGTACCCAAAAATTAAAAAAAAGTGAGAATAGAATCACAATGCCCCAATGTATTCTGCCAGATTAAAACTAAGAAAAAGAAGCTCCAAATCGTTTTTATTTTCTATGGAAATCTGAATGTTTTTCAATTCTGTGTAAAGGTTCTAGAATTGAGACCCTAAACAAAAATATTTCTGAATATTTACAAACAATGTTCTAAATCACTACCAACAGCCTTTATACTCTGTGCCGTTATGGACGAAGAACAGAAGAGAGGAGATGGTTGGGGATTTCCATCCCAGCAGTAGGACGTTCCTGTCCATTCTTCGCTTAAACTGATTTTTTTCTTGTCCAAAAACGTCAGTTTAGCCTTTTTAGAAAACTGCAGCCTATTAGTAAGTAGATCCCTGGGGCTGGGGATTTAGCTCAGTGGCAAAGCACCTGCCTGGCAAGCGCAAGGTCATGAGTTCGGTTCCCGGTACCAGAGAAAAAAACAAAACAAAAAAAAAAGTAAGTAGATCCCATGCAGTAGATCTACTCCCGTGTAATTCTATTTCCCTTGATTTAAAGCTGTGTTTCTCTGTTTTCTTCAGTGTCTTTCAAAATTCAAGACAGTGGGGGGTGGGATCACTGTGTACAAAACAGACGGAACGTGAAGGACATGCACGCAGGTCTCTCTCCACCCCTGCTGCGGCCTGTGAGCTGCTACACGGGACTTCCTGCCTCATGGGACGGAGCAGTGAAAGGCCGTGACTGCAGCCTGCTGTGCGTCCAGATTGGAGTAAACAGCAGCCCTAAGTCGGCCTCGAGAGTGGACAGTTCTCAGAGAGGCCAGGTCCCAGGGGAGTCTCTGATCTTCGCCTTGTACTCTCAGTAGCAGAATGCTTCCAAAACGTGTAATTACAGTCCTGATGAAGCGTAGCCAGGGCTGGGGAGCGGCTCAGAGGTACAGTGCTTTTGGGGCTCATTCCCAGCAACACAGAAAAAGGGGGCGGGGAAATCAACCAATTTCTAAAACGTTCACCCCCACCCTTTGTTTATAAACAGCACCACTGACAGTCCCCCAAAGTGACTGCTCTATCACCGTCCTTCAGCTAGCGGTGGCCAAGAGCTGGGCCATGAACCCAAGGCTCCCAAGCCAGGGAGATGCTGCAGATCTATAATGCTGCTTATTGTGTCAGTGCCCCCCCAGACGGTTCTAGTGGCCTCTGAAATGAGGGACATCCCCACACTAGGCCACGTAGAGGTCCGAAACAGGGCTCGAGGTGCACGCCTATAATCCCAGCACTGAGGAGACTGAGGCAGGAGAATTATTGCAAATTTGAGACCAGCCTGGGCTACAAAGTGAGCTTAAGGCCAGCCTCAACTTCATAGCGAGATCTTGTCTCAAAAAAACAAAAAACAAATAAAACAAAACAAACAAACAAAAAAGGAGTTCAAGAAGCACTCAACCTAACCAGCTGGGAGAGAAACACTACTCCTCACACTGAAAGAGTATTTCACTGAACACTGAGCTAGACCTCAAAATCAGAGACGTCCCGAGGCTTCCGTTATGGTCAGCAACGCCCTGTACACAGAGCAGAGCTGAGCTGAGCTGAGCTGAGCTGAGCTGAGCTGAGCTGGACAGGAAGGCTCTGCAGCCCCAACACATGGCCATGCCATCAACGGCGTGACAACGCCCGTCCTTACTTCTTCAGAGTCTCCGCGGAGTCGCTGCGGCCGTCATAGTCGAAGTCAAATGCGGGGCCGCTGACCACGTTGACGCCATTCCTCTCCAGGGCGTACCGCGGCAGGAGGGTGTCGTGAAAGTAGCGCCATATAACTGAAACCAGAAGGAAGACGGTCGTCTCTAGAGAACACCGAGCACGCCGGCCTGTACGTCATCCACACGTAACCGCGTGAGCACCTGCGGTCTGTGCAGATCGAGTCCCGTGGGGGCTCAGTCTTAAGGTGAGGCGCAAAATCCACTCCGGGTTCAGCTCTGGCCTTTGGATGGACTAACGGATAAACGCTGAATTCAACTCTGTTCTTAAGACCCCCTGCTAGTGCCGCCCGATGAGCTCAGGAACGCATTCAATCGGCGAGCTCGACACCGCGCCAAACAAGGGAAATGATTCAGACCCACCCTTACGATCTGAATTTTCCCTCCGAAATATTCGCAAGTGTTATGGATGTAAATATGACACCTTATAAGCGCTACATACATATTCGCACATTGGTTTAAGTGTGCATGTTTATTTTTTTTGCCTGTAGGAGTGAAATGCTACAACAGTTAATGATGTAAACTATTTTAAAAATAAAACCAATTACTAGGAATTTCATATTTGTGAAACTGGGAAACAGATGAAAAGCTATATATAATGGGGTTCTTCTCACTGTTTTATCAGCGTATGTTCGAAAGTAGTTAACATCCATTTCGGGGGACTGGCGTATGGCAGAGCCTACCTTGATTACTTCCCATCCCCTTACCTCCCCTCCGTCCTCACCTTCCTCCTACTTCCCTTCCCCATTTCCAACAAGTCTTCCTCTCCGTTTCCTTATGTTGTATGTATGAGTTGTGTATTAGCTAGATAACTTTAAGAAGAATATTACATACTTTTCTGTCAAAAATGTTTAGAAACTTTTAAATATACAGCCTGGTGTGCTGGTGCACGCTTGTAATCCCAGCACTCAGGAGGCTGAAGCAGGAGGATCACTGCAAGTTCAAAACAAGCCTGGGCTACAAAGTGAGCTCAGAGCCAGCCTGAACTGCACAGTGAGGCCCTGTCTCAAAAAGACAAACAAACAAATAATTTTTAAATATAAAGCAGACTAGACTTTAAAAGATAATTCTAATATTTGTACTGTCTTCTTGTGCATTTTAGGACTTTCAAAATTAAAGCTTTTTTTTTTTTTTAACTACATAGGTCTCACTATGTAGTTCAGACTGGCCTTGAGCTTACTACATAGCCCAGGCTGGCCTTGAACTCGTAGTGATTCTCCTGCCTCAGCCTCCTGAGTGTCAGGATTATAGGCCACGCCCAGCTAAAATTAAACAAACCTTTAGGAATGTATCTGATATTTAGTTAATTAGTTTAGTCTACAAATTCTACTAAATATAAATGGTACCCATGTGTACTGAAATTATAAAGTTAGAACTTTTTACCTTGAAAACTCTGGTACATTGGCACGATATTAGTAGTAAGCAACGCTTCAGAATATATTTGACTTGAATATTTACTCAGTTCTGAAAAGAAAAACACAGAACCATTTTTCATTTAACATTCAAAATTAGTTTTTCATGGTTTAGGGTGAGGGGAATTTAAACCAAGTTAGCTGAGTACCTTCTTGAACCCGAAAGGGCCTCTTTGCTACTGAAAGAAAGGCAGATACATTACCTTTGCCCCTTAAAATTTTTTAGTATTTCCTTTTTCAAGGCAATTTGTCAAAGAAATAGAAACTGCAATAAGAAGATCCTCAAAGGAAACACATCCACGCTTCGCTTCATTTGCCTAATTTCAGCTGAAGAGGATCGCACTGACGTCTCCCTTCCTGAACCCTTCACAGTGACAGGAGACAGGAACCGCTCCGGCTCAGAGCAGCACCTGCTGCCCACAGCAAAATCTCTGAGCTGCAGGGCAGATTTTAAAACAGGAGAGCATGAAAGAAGAGAGAGACAGGTAGGGCCGGGGAGGCAGAGCTTACGTGGCGGGGTGAGGAATCCGTAACTCAGTCTGTTGTTGTTTTTATAAAAGGAACACTTATGGACAGGACTCAGAGGGACCCGAAGGTCCTGGAACACGCAGCTGGAGAAGTCTTCTGTGGAGAACCCAACCTGCAGAAGGGAAGGAAAAAAGCCGCAGGTGTTAGGCACAGGGAGAAGAAAAGCATCGCTTTGCCAACAGGCGAAAGTGACCTGTGCTGTCTGCCCCTGCTCTTAACTTTCTGCAGCTCTCCACTGGTGTACTCATCTTTTTTCTAACTGAAAGGTGAAGAATCGTTACAAGTTTCAGGGTACTAACTCCTTGCCGTATATGTACAAACATCTTCCTGTACTGCACGAATTGCGTTTAGGTTTTTAGCTATAGTTTTAAGCATGTTACACAGTATAATGCTGACCATACTGCATTGCTGAAAGTCTCTGGGAGAAGGGAGCAAAGCCACTTAAAAGTAAAGGAAAGCTCCAGGAGTAGTGACAACTGTGAGTTCATGCAGCTTTCATTACATCAGAAAACTGGAAAGTCAGAAGGCGTGGTGGCGCATGCATGTAATCCCAGCACTCAGGAGGCTGAGGCAGGAGGATCGTTGCGAGTTTGAGTCCTGCCTGTGCTACAAAGTGAGCTCAAGGCCAGGCTGAACCGCATAGTGAGACCTTGTCTCAAAAAGACAAAAAAAGAAAACTGAAAAGTCAACCAGAAGCAATGACCACCATAATTAAAGTGTTGAAGGACAACAAATATAAAAGGTGCCTACAAAATACGGTGAATGCTAAGTATTGTGAACTCAAGTGAAAAACAGTATTTGGGAGTGGTCTTCAAAATTTTAAAAATTAGTTGAGAACACTATGTGAATACGTGAATGTGTGTACGATATATTTTAACACAGAAATGACTTATGTACACACACAACCTGTCTTCATTTATCAGCCTCGGTGAGTATCAATAGCAGCTGTATTCACTGAATCCGATCGCTACCCTCAATGAAGCCGATTTAGCACATCCTATAGCTCAAGCCTTTCTGAAAATCTGAAAATTGCAGGTAAAAGGTCCTGCATTAGATTACAAAGCAGTCTTAAAAGTATTAAAACGCGGACCAAGAAGGCACACCTTCCTCATCTCAGAGGCGTCTGCTCTGCGGCACCTCAGAGTTGCACAGCTAACAAGGGGCGCACCTGCGTCCGGAACCGAACGTTTCTGCTTTCCTGACCAGCTTCCCCCGACTCTGAGGCCAGCACAACAGTGACAGACTTGCTGTCAAGCTCTCGCTGATGGTGACCCAAAACCCACAGGGAGCCAGAGAAGCGGCAAACACTTGCGTTTCTCTCCACGGTGTAGGACGTCCAGAGGGGCATGAGGATGTCGTGGCTGTACGCGCTCACAAACTGATGGTGGTAGAGCACACACACACTGCTGCTCTTCTTCTCCACAAGCCGGGGCCTTCCGTAGGGTAAAGCTCCTCGGTCAGTGTTCTTCTCTTGAGCCCCAGAGGGAAAAGGAAACCGTCATTTAAAGCAGTGCATATGTGTTGTATAATAATACATGGTCATATGCTCGTCTAACCCTTTGCTCTGCTTCATGGTGAAAAATTGCTTTTAGCTAAAAAATAAACATAAAAACCAACAACAACTAATTAAAAGAGTAGCTGGGCGTAGCAGCACATGCTGGTGATTCCCAGCACTCAGGAGGCTGAGGCAGGAGGGTTATCATTAGCTCAAGGCCAGCCTGAACTATGTATCAAGCATAAACCTGTCTCAAGGAAAAAGAAAACAGGGGCTGGGGATTTAGCTCAGTGGCACAGTGCCTGCCCGGCAAGTACAAGGTCATGAGTTTGATTCCTGGTACCAGAAAAAAAAAAAAAAGAAAGAAAGAAAACAAAGAAGAGCAGAACCATAAAAACTTAACCAAACCAATGTGGTTGGTGACAATTTTTGCTTGTACAGATACTGAAAGATCAATGTGTTATCAAGGTTTATGAGGGGAGGCCACATGAAACTGCTAGAAATTCCAATTAATTAGGACTTACACTACCAATTTTTAAATTATGTTAATTGCCCTTTTTTAGGACATACTGCACCAAGCACATGTGGGAACTTAGGAAGCAAAAGATTCAGAACTCAAACTGTGAGACCAAACTGAGGGAAATGATACATTTACTGCCCTTTTCTAAATATCAAATGCTTTGTAAAATTCTTCTATATCATCTAATTCTTACATCTCCCCATGAATTAAGGTTATACACCTACTTTACTTAGAAGAAAACAGAAGTTCACGAAGAAAAAAACACTTCTTCCACAAACACACAGCTAAGCTCATATTCAAGGGCGGATCTACTCCATTCTGAAAGTGTCACCGTTTTTATACACTGCCACATTGGAGATAAAAAGACATCTGCCATCCCAACATTTAGAGTATGGGTTTTGTGCAGACAGGCTCATGTCAGGATTAAAGCAGACTTTACCTCTACCTTCCAGCAAGAGAAAATCAGTCACGTACTTTAAGGATCAGAGATTGTACAGAAGTGACTCTGACCATCCCAGAGAAGCCTGAAGAATTTCAGTCACCTATACGTTCTTAATTTTCATTCAAAAGTTACAAAGAAATAACTCCCAGGTAAAGAAATCAATTTATAATCTCTTATAATTAATTAAAAACCTGGTAAGATAAATACCAAGCTGGTATTTTGTTTGTATGTTTTGGACTTTTGAGAGAGGGTCTTACTATGTGTAGGGCAGGCTGGCCTTGATCTTGCAGGGATCCTCCTGCCTCAGCCTCCCGAGGGCTGGGATTACAGGTATGCAGCACCACACCTGGCCTAAGCCAGGAGGTTAAGTGTAAATTTAACGCTCCATGGTAGACACGTAAAAATCTTCAAAATTTCAAAGCACTTCCATAATGTTCACAAAGAATGACTTAGATTTCAATAAATGTGTCGTGCACCATTACCACTGTAAAGCAGCCCTTCTTCCCTTATGCCTAACAGGCTAGACTCAGGCAAAGCAAAAGCTGTTTCATCACGTGGGCCTCCGTGATTTTTATTTTGCCATTTGCCCTTAAATGAGGCCCCAGACCAATGGTCTATGGCTCGTGCTGCTGAGCAAAAGCTGTTTCCCCTTCCAGCGGGGGTCCCGTGTGTTACCTTCCGTCCTGGTCAGGTTAAACTGCGTCTGGAAATCCTCAATAGGCACAATCTAAAAACAAGTTCATAAAACAGTGTTAGGGTTGGGGAGGGCCGAGGGCGTTCTATAACTCAGCCCCCCGTTAGCCAAGCCTAAACTAACCCAACAGGGAACAAAGACTGGATTCCCAAGTCTTGTCTAAGTAAAAGGTGTTCTTGTCCATGGATGAGGAGGCCGACAGAGAAATGACTAATAAGACTGTCCGCGTAGGTGTAACACCAGTGGCTGAAAACCAGTAATATAAACCCTGCTTTGTACTTCTTGTCCTCTCAGTAGCTCTCCATGAGCCTAAACCAGGCCCTGAAGATAACAGGACACATCACATGAACGCCTCCCGCTGCTGGCTACCTTCACGCTCACGTCCACTTGGCTCCTAACGTCAGGTATTTTTAATCTTCTTGCAGCAGCTGTTAAGATACTCACAGAATACTAATTATTAAGATCTACCTATGATACTAATATTAATACTAGTTATTAAGATCGACTCATAATACTAATATTAATGCTAATTATTACGATTTACTTATAATTACTAAGATGTGCTTATAACTCCCGTGAAGATAGGAAAAAGAGCAGTGCCATATACCCATTTTATACAGAAATGCTCTTTTCCCCTAAACGAACACTGGGTTGGACTGTCTTGGAGAGGACATTGCGATGAGCTTACTCAGCTCAGTACAGCGCCGATGATAAGAGCGCTGAAGGTGCAGAGAGGAGGAAAATAAGGCGGTCCTAGTGTGAGAGACAACCGTACGCCGACCTCCTGCTGCACTTCTTAGCACTGGCCGTGCGGAGGGCGAGGGCCACACCTCTCAGAGCTACTCACCGAGGGGTCACAGAAGCAGCCTAGCGTGTCTGTGGGGGTCCCCTTGATGGGGCATTTCACCAGGGGCTCTGCTTCTTTGGGGTGCTTTGGGGTGTAAACAGGATGCTTTAGGAGATGGTTCAGACTTCCGTGAGTCCCATTATTCGGAGCAGGTGTCAACTTCAGTAAATCTGCGTAATTCCAAGAATGGGAAAGAGCTACTTAGAAGTTCCAAACCAAGTAAACAGGTAGACTTACACTACAGTTTGTAAGGTTTGAAAAGTACAAATATATATAGATATGTATGTAACTCGCTAGATATAGAGATAGAGACAGGGAAATAAAGATGGAGACAGAGATAAAGATAGAGATAGAGACAGAGACAAAGATAGAGATAGAGATCTCCTTTACCCTTTTAACTAAAACTGTAAAACTTTCTTGGCTGTTAGAGTATTTGTGAGTATGCTATTCTGATAAGAAATACAGATCTGTATGCTCTACTTCTCTATAAAAATTTCTGAATTTTAAAATAATAATATAATAATAGCAAAGAAATACTACACACCAGCCACAGATTTGAGTGTTTTAGGATGTATTAACTCGTTTAAAGTTATTGGCTCCTAGTCAAAGAATTATATATTCAATAGTTTTGCAAATGCCCAATATTAGCAGAAAAAGGAAATAATACGTAAAACCCAATGCCTCCCCACAGCACTACTAGTTCGAAAGATACAAAGTAAAACAACAGGGCTGATGGCCTGGCCTTTGTGTCCACAGCCTTGACATTGCTATCCCATCCACTGTTACTGCTACCGGAAGTTCTGCCATTTTGCTCACCTTTCGCTTTCCCCAAACTCTATCCTTTGGCTTCTACCGCTACTCTGACCACAAGCTAGAGAATTTAACCCCAGGGTCTAGCACTCTGTAGATGCACCAGTGTGTAGCCCAGTGAAAAGTCAGACAAGTAATGAGAAGCAACATTTTGCACATTTCTTTTCAGTTGTGTCTGGGTCAGAAGAGGAAAGGGACAATATGAGGGTGTGTCTTCCTTCATCACATCCCCACCCAGGCGTCCAGCGCGTGACCTACTTAGGACTGTCCTCCAACTCTCCTCTAAGAAGGGAGAAGAGCTCCTGTTCATACTTACCACACATTAAGTTATAGAGCTCAATATTTTCAAAGGTGTCAACCTCCACGCCATGCTTGAATCCAGGTCCATAGCCTAGAAAGAGAGCCTGCGTGGGCCAGAAAAGTAACACTTCATCAATGCAGTTCCGTTATGTGTAGAGTTGGTACATAAATGTATAGTATGTGCACTGTTAATGTGTTAAGATGGGGAAACACCCTGATTTGGTGAGCCTTTTGTGGTGTTGTTCTAACCTCCATCACATGTATAATCTAAAGACACCTAGAACACTTCTTAGTTTTGTTTTTTTTACACCAGGAATTGAACTCAGGACCTTGCACTTGCCAAGCAGGGTCTTGTGCCACTGAGCTAAACCCCTGGCCCCACTTTTCTTAGTTTTGTTACTCTTCTGGACTTGAGGAGCAGGACAGAGTGGATGGTGGACTCTTTTCTCCCTATGAAATGGTGTACAGTATTGATCTCACCCTGTCTACCTCCCACAGAGCTACAGGAAGCAATTTAACTATTGTTTTTGAAAATTTATAAGCACCAGGCAAGGCATGTGTGTAATCCCACCACTCTGGGAGGCTGATACAGGAAAATTGCAAATTTAAGTCCAGCCTGGACAATATAGCAAGATGGCATCTCAAAAAAAAAAAAAAAAGACTGGGGATGTAGCTCAGTCCCAAGGTCCCAGGTTCAATCCCCAGGGCTGAAAAAATAAATAAAATAAAATAAAATGTAAGATATTATCTCTTTTCAGAACGTAGGTACAATACCTTTTCATCAGGTAAGTCGCTGGCTTTCTTTTGTGGTGAAGTAACCCGCTTAGTGGTACACAAATAAGTATTAGCAATTTAGTAAATGTTCTCTCACAGATTCACAAAACATGAATAAAATATTAACAAAATTCTTTACTGTCCAAAGAAAGACAGCTATATAAAATATGTTTAAGAAAAATAATCATAACCTGTGTTGTCTCCCACTTTATATATTATCTTCTCTTCGAGTTTAGTTCTATTTTCTTAAAGAATGAAAGGTTTACTTACTTGCATATTTGAAAATACATTGTCAGAGCCATGAAATCCGCCTCCACAAAATTTTCCTTCCGAGGGACTCCTATTTTGACATGAATTAATATGAATCAATAACATGAAGTCTATTCGTATAACACGATCGGTAACTATAACTTCTTCGTTAATAAAAAACAAGTAACTATCTTGGTTTTACTTTTACCTTTTATTTTGCTCTTTGATTTATTTTTAACCTATAACATTATACAAATGATTACCTACAGCTTACATCAACAGAAAGAAGACCCTTAGTAGACATAGTGAAAATTGAATAGCTACCCGAATTACTCAATCCTCCCCTTTGTAATTCCTTTAAAACAGACAGCCCACATACCATCTGATCAAAATCACTTTCGGAGGCATAATTCTCATCGCAACATAACGTGAATATTATGTTACAAACTAGAGAAAAGAATTTCAAAGCAGCTCTCCTGAGACGGAGCACTCATGTATGTATATACACCTGCAATCCCAGCACTCGGGAGGCTGAGGCAGGAGGATCACTGTAAGTTCAAGGCCAGCCTGGGCTACATAGTAAGACTCCATCTCAAACAAACAAACAGAGAATTAACAGGCCAAGATTGAAAAATCCTGGGTCAAGGGAAGAGGATCCTATTTCTAGAGTTTTCATGTAGCAACACCATTAGAAAAGGCCTACTGATTGCCCTGGGCCACTGACGGGCCAGGCTGCATCTTCCAGCAGGGAGGTCGGCGGAACTTACAGCGCGAGTTGCCACTGCGGGTCCAGGTAGAATGTCAGGGGCTCGATCCTGTCGTTTTTGGCAAAGTGAAAACGCTTGGGGAGGAAGTGTTTCAGGTAAGGCGTGAAGTGCTGCTTGGGTTCACGACACTGAAATTGCAAAAGGTCAAAACAAGAAGCAAATGCGTGCTATTATTTCCATACGGGCAAAACTGTGAACATCTCTTGAAATTCAAGACCATGTAAGTTTTTTCTCACAAACATTTTACCAGCCTGCCCAATCAGTCACAGACAGAAAAAGAACAGTTCTTCGCCAGGCGTGGTAGCATACACCTGCAATCCCAGCACTCGGGAGGCTGAGGCAGGAGGATCATTGAGAGTTCAAGGCCAGCCTGGGCTACAAAGTGAGCTCAAGTCCAGTCTGAACTGCATAGAGAGATCTTGTCTCAAAAAGACAAAAAAAAAACAAACCAAAAAAAAAACAGTTCTTGCATTCTGAGAGGCTGAGGCAGGATACAAGTATGAGCCCAGCCTGAGCAATTTAGACATTGTCTGAAAAAATAAAATAAAAAAAGATATAATAAAATAAAATAATAAGATAAAACAAAATAAAATAAAAGGCTGGGCATGTAGCTCAGTGCAAAAGCCTTAGGTTCAATCCCCAATATTGAAAAATAAAATAAAATTAAAACATTCTTGCTAATTGTATACCTTACAAGGTGAATATTCCAAGCCAGTTGAAATTTTTTATTCTGTCTTTTTTGAGACAGGGTCTCACTATGCAGTTCATTCAGGCTGGTCTTGAACTCATTTTGTAGCCCAGGCTGGCCTTGAACTCAATGATCCTCCTGCTTCAGCCTCTGAAGCTAGTTGAAATTTTTATTGGATAACCTAATTGTTATTGCATGAAAGTCCCAGGACCCTTAGACTGTGTCACTTGATTACCCTAGATCACACTAAAGTCACAACTTAGCAGTCTTATTTTTCATTTCTTTTCTCTTTCCATCCTTCTTCCCTTCCTTCTTTCTTTGCAGTACTAGAAATTGAGCCTATGGCATTCACTCTGAGCTATATTTCTAGCCCTTTTTAAAATTTTTTACTTCAAGGCAGTTTCTTGCTAAGTCATTATTTTGCCTAGTCTGGGCTTGAGCTTGTGATCTTCCTGCGTCAGCCTACCAGAGTGCTAGGATTACAGGTAGGCACTACCAAACCCGGCTTGGAAGAAAATACATCATAAGGCGAAGATGTTTACGGCAGTAAAGCTACACACTTTTCTTTTTGTTTTTTCAATTACTTCTGGTACTGTTATACACATTTACAGCACTAGAAAGTAAATTCTGAAAACCTTTCAAACACAGATTATTGGAACATATCCCCACAGACCTGTAAGAGCTAACGATATTGGCCCATACACTCAAAAATTCTAATCCTAGCAATAGACATCAAACCCTCTCTCTAAACACACCAAATTAACAACAACCAGACAACAGAAAATAAAGATACTCACAGAGAGATTTCTGGCAATGCCTTCATAATTAACTGAGGGGGACAAACGCTAAGAATTAGTAGTTGATGACATGCTGCAATTAAAAATAAAAATACTACAAAAATGTAGAATGTTAGACTCAAATTCCACATGTAAATACCAAAGCCAATTTCAAACTCATTCAAGGCACTGCACACTGGCTACTGAAGGCTAAGGTGGATCCCTCCGCACCGTCCCGTGCTGGTGCGGACAGCAGGGTTCTGTCATCAGGTGAGAGCAAGCAACCCTTGTGATCTGTTCTACCCATCATCCACCCACCCCTCCTCCACCTGTCCGCTCTCGGGCCAGCCGGCCACTCATCCACCTGTTAATCTACCCGCCCATCCAAAGCTCCGTCTGTCCCTCCGCATATCTATCCATATTCACATGGACAGCTGGATGTAGTGTGATTTCATACGTGCTTAACATACACACAGCAAATACCTGGGAAAACATATTCCAAACCTAACAGCGGTTATCTCTGAAAAGGGGAATTCGGTTGTGAAGTAAGGGACTCAGGGTGGGAAACCTACGTTTTACTTTGGATATTTTAACGTTCAGTGATAATTCTAGCATTTCAAAGTAAAAGGGACGCAGGGAAACACAGAAGAAAGGGCAAGTAGATGGGTTTAAAGCTGAATTTTCAGTGTAAGCTCAATGAACTTCCGTAGTGTACACCGTGCACCGCATCAGTGACTGTCTAGCTTTCTAAATTTTCTTTTCTTTTCTTTTCTTTTTTTGTCTTTTTGAGACAGGGTCTCGCTATGCAGTTCAGGCTGACCTTGAGCTTACTTTGTAGCCCAAGCTGGCCTCAAACTCCAGCGATCCTCCTGCCTCAGCCTCCCAAGTGCTGGGATTACAGGCGTGCGCCACCACGTCTGGCTGCCCATGCAGTTTTAAAACAGGTTTTATAATCATCATGTACAGTTGTCCCTGGGTGTCCTTGGGGTACAGGGTCCATGAATATCACAGTTTTCAGATGCTCAAGTCCCTGACATAAAATGAACGGCATAGTACTTGGAAATAATCTACACATATCTTCCCATATACGTCAGATTACTCGTACTGCCTAACATAACGCAATGCTATATGAAAAACTGTTACACTGGATTATTTAGAGAGCAATGACAAAAAATTTGCACAGGCTTAACACAGATAAAATGTTTTTCTAGATATTTTCAATCTGCAGTTGGCCGAATTCACAGATATGGAACCATTACATGTGGAAGGTTGACCGTGCTACATTTATACATTTTATTTTATTTTATTTTATTTTATTTTATTTTATTTTATTTATTTTTGGTACCAGGAGTCAAACTCAGGACCTTGCGCTTGTCAGGCAAGCACTGTGTGGCTGAACTATATACCTGGCCCCACTTCTAGACTTTTAAAAAATACTAATTCTGCATATGGAACTTGTACTTTGCGCTAATATAGCTCATACCCATTTTCCTGCAATGAAATGCTTTTAAATTAGTATTCAACCATATCTACTAAAACCTATTTCATTCCAAACCCAAACCTAGCCCAATTCTGATAACTCAGAACACCTTATTTTTGTTTTCATTTCAAAAGTAATCGTGTTAAAAAGAGTTTTTAAAGTTGACCGACATATCAGATAAGTTTTCACGGATGGTAATCAAAAAACAGATACCAAAGGCTGGAAAAAGTTACAAAATGGGCTGATGTGCAAAAGAGAACATCCTCCTTTTTTGGTAACCTGTGTCAAGAGAGGTGAAATTTCTTCTCCTTTCCTCTTTCAAAGATATATTCTTGTTGCTTTTTTTTTTTTTTTTGGTACCAGGAATCGAACTCATGACCTTGCACCTGCCAGGCAGGTGCTCATGCCACTAAGCTATATTCCCAGCCCTCTCGTTGCTTTTTGAAATGGCTTAAAGAAGTCATTTCTGAGGACAGAAATCAACTGCTTATCGAATCTGTCATCTCTGCTAGCATTCCTCCTCCTAACAGAATATTACTCTCACGTGATGTAAGTCACACTAATGCCATTAATTACCTAAACTTGAACAGAGTTGAATTTTTCCCTTAAACTTTTTTCTACCACAATCTTGAACCTACTATAAGTAAAACTACATTGCCACAGCAACTTGTATGAAGATCACCAAATAATAATATGCTTGGCCCACGAATAAATACCAGAAAAATAAGTGGCAAGATTTGTGGCCTTACATTTAGTCCCATAAAATTCACTGAAGTACATAAGATCACTGAAGTACTAGAGATTATGAAACACTGACTCCCTATCATTTTTAATGATTTGGAGAAATTTATTCGTAACACAAGCATGTTGGAAATTACCACAAAGACGTACTTACACGAATAGTATTCATTGAGCTCATCAGCTGGTCTCAGTCGAGCGGCAGGTCCATACGTAACTTTAACATTTTTAACATCCCCCAAATATTTGCTCAGGTACACATACTTCTTACAACTGCCTTGTTCCATGCCTAGGAGAAAGAAACCCAAAAGCACGTTTCAACTTTTATAAAGAACTTGATACGGAAGGCAGAATTTCTTTCACTTCCAGAATTAACTATATATATGCTCAATAAATGAGCTGAATATATTCGTTGATATTAGTTGCTATCAGATGTTCACATACAGTCGTTCCTTAGCTGGACTCCTGGTAGAATAGGACACGGAATTTCAGCTATATTGGCCATTTCACTTTTCTCAAACTACCTTCCTGCCTACTGTGCTTCCTCCTGCAAGGTGGCTGTTCTCACGCCGTGGGGTGAACGTCTTTTCCTTCTACTACCTGGCCAAAACTCGCTCTGCACAGCCTGTTTCTTTTCCCTACCTTTAACAAAACTTTGCTGCTATTAAAAAAAAAATTCCCGGCTGGGGATTTAGCTCAGCGGCAAAAGCGCTTGCCTGGCAAGCGCAAGGTCGTGAGTTCGGTTCCTGGTACCGGAGAAAAACCAAAAAAAAAAAAAAAATTCCCTTTCCTTCACCCAAAATTAGGTGTTTCTTCTTATTTACCTCTTGTAACATCATTCCATTCTAAGGAAGAACATCGAATCACAGATCTACACAGCTCTTTGCCCAAAAGCACCCGCCATTTTGGCTGGGATTATAGGTGTCAGACTCACTACAGGACTGGCGTTTCTGTGACATGCAACACTTTAGGACTCTTTCTAAAAAACGGCTTTCTGCAATTATTTTTGAAGCAAACAACAAACACAAGTAGAAAAATAAACAGCCTACTTTCTACTTTCTATCATGCACACCCCTTCTTCAGTCCCACAGCTGTACCCAAACCTGTGTCACCAAGATTGTGTTGCACAAAATGAAAATAATATACTGTCAAATTTAATATGCTGTCAAAATTAATACACACAGCCTCTAAAGTTATTCGTATTATGCTACATAAAGTTGAAAAGGCACATAATAATGTTTTCTGATTAAATTTAAAACTGTGGAGTAACCAAAATTTAACACTGAAGAAACACTTTTTGAACTATTTAAATCCTGGTGTAGGCTTTTCCCAAATCGGAAGGTAGCTGCATTATACTGGCCAGCACTTAGGTTTCCATGAACTCTGTGTTTCATTTGTGTTTTATATTTACTGTAATTTCTTCCAAAGGACTTTCCACAAGGAACTACATTTTTTAACAATGTGTGACCTATGCATTCACAGGGAACCATGAGACAAAAATCTACCAAGGAAACTTTTTTTGGTAAGACAATCTGAAGAGTAAACAAGGCAAACGTAGGTTACCGTGATCCGAAACCAGGATGAGGTTCAGGCATTTGTCCAGCTTGAGCTCTCTGAGGCCCTCCATCAGCATGCCCACCATGCTGTCCACCCTCTGCAGGGCTTTGATGACCTGAGGTGGAAAGCAACCTGGTGTGACCAATTCTACACTGTGGGCTACTTCTACGTGAAGCCATCTCTACTTTAAAAATACATGAAGACATGATCAAAATCACTGGCCATTAGAGAACTGCACATTCAAACAACATTGTGATTGAACGGTACCCCAGAAAGAATGGCCACCATCAAGAAATCAAATAACATAAGCTGGAGACATGGGGGGATGGGGTACCCTTCTACATTGTTGCTGGGAATGAACTAGTACAACCACTATGGAAATCAGTGTGCGGATGCCTCAGAAAACTAAAACAAGTTGCCGGGTGCAGTGGTGCATGCCTATAATCCCAGCACTCAGGAGGCTGAGGCAGGAGGATTGTCACAAGTCTGAGACCATCCTGGGCTACAACGTGAGCTCAAGGCCAGGCTGAACTGCATAGTGAGACACTGTCTTAAAAAGACAAAAAAAAAAGAAAAAAAAACTAAAACAAGAAAGCCCATCCAATCCAGCTATTACCCTCCTAGGTATCTTCCTAGAAGAGTTTAAGACAGTGCCAGTACAAGGACACATGCATACCCATGTTTACAACGGCACAATTCGCAATAGCTAAATCTGTCCATCAACGGATGACTGGATAAAGAAAACGCAGTGTTTACACAAAACAGAGCACGACTCCACCACAGAGAAGGGAAAACCTGCATCTTCTGCAGGGAAGCGGGCGCACTGAGCCCACAATGTTAAGTGAAATAAATGAGACACACGATTTATCACATAACTTCTCTTCTATGAATCTGGGGTGAAGAGGTGAGGCCACAGCCTCTGATGGAGGCAATCAGACCAGGTCTGCGACAGGGGGTTCGGGCAGTGCCACCTCACAATTTGTATGGCCAACAGCAGTCAGAGATGCTTTCTTTTTATTGCTTTTCATATCTTAAGTCACAGGTAAAATGTAGAAGGAAAGTTACTTATTTTTACTAACATTTCCTGTGCCCCAAGATGTAAAAGTGCTTCAGACACACGAACACTGAAAGCAGCAAGCGTTGTTTTTTTTTTTTTTTTTTTTTTTTTTTTTTTGGTTTTTCTCCGGTACCGGGAACCGAACTCACGACCTTGCGCTTGCCAGGCAGGCGCTTTTGCCACTGAGCTAAATCCCCAGCCCCAGCAGCAAGCGTTGTTTTAAAGTACAACGTAAGTGGCAGACAGAGACAGGAGCTGGCTAAAGGTGTCAGTTCAAACAAGATGTTATTCTATGAGCATTAGCCCATGAGCTGGTTCCTAGAGTTCCCTAGTAATCATCCAATAAAGAAAGATTATTTGCATATCTCTATTTTTTTTTCTGAGACAGGGCCTCACTAAGTCACTAAGTAGCCCAGGATGAGCTCAAACTTGCAATCCTCCTGCCTCAGCCTCCCAGAATGTTGGGATTATAAGTGTGAAACACCATGCTCAGCTGTATCTCTGTAATTTTGAGAAAGCCTCCCATCTTTCAATGTTCCGGCTGTAATGTAAGCACGGCCTCATGAATCTAGAGACCTATTTCTTAAGAAGGAGAGTTTAGAGAAGGCTTCTTCCGCTACTTGATTCATTAACCTATATTTTCATAGAAATCTGGAGCCTCAGAAAGTTTGTAGTCCACAATGACTAGATTCACTGGGGGAGTTGGTATGGGTAGATAATGCATCTCACTTTTTTTAACCTCTTACAAAACTCTCATGAAGCATTTAGTTTTTAGGCCAAAGGAAGAGAATATGGGGTGGCAAAAGAATTTTGAGTTTGGAAATGTAGAATTGAATTCATCAGTGCACTTGAGCACTGCAGAAAACGTAAGCAAACACCATTCTCCCAACTTTATTTTGGTTAAAGTACACTCTGTGGTTTAGTAAAGTGATGCATAGTAATTCCCTCTCTCCAGACATCACAGCATCTTACAGAATGGCCCAGAAGCTTCAGAGCACAGATAGGTTAAAGGACACCCGCCTTAACAAAGTCACGGTAGGCAAAAGTGCACTTACTTCGCTGCTGACTGGTCCGTAGGAATGACCTGAGGAATCTGGTTCTTCTAAATACAGAGTGTAAAAGTGTGGTCTAAATCAAACAGTATCAAAATGTAATATTTTACGAACACATTGAAAAACAGAGTGGCAAGAATAATTCAACAATTGATAGTGCTTAAAAATTCTACAACACTGGGGTAACATTTCTAGGCTTGCTGGGAAATAATTTACAGGTTTGGAATTCTTCCAAATGCAGCTGTGGTAGCTCCCTAGAGAGTTTATTTAGATATAAAACATCATCACAGGAGATGGCAAAGTTTTATTCTAGTCTATTTTTAAGAAGTACATAAGTTTCATAAAACCAAGGGGTACTTACAATAGAAATTAATCATCTACATACCTTTCCCCTGCTGGAAGCTGGAGCCAGTCGAGAATAGCTAAGATCCTCCTTTCAAATGGTATGGAGCTGAAATGAAGGATAAACAAAATGAAACAAATCTGTGACAATTGTTTGGATTTAAAATATAAACGTTTTTCTTATTGAAAATGGCATTAAGCGATGCTAAAGTAACCCAGGCATCTACTGTGCTTGAAGTTACATAAGAGTTTTATTTGAAAACTAAATTTTGTTTTCCAGTAAAGAAGCAAAACTCAGCTTTTATACAAATATAAGTTGTGATCTGGTTTAAAAACTGGTTTCCTTCACTAGAGGGTATCCTCCGCAGGATACTCCGCGTGCGCTTGAGGTCGGGGCGTGCAGCACATGGGCAGTGCGTGTGTTGTCTGTTCTGCTCAGCAGCCCACTGACAGGCGTGTGGCTGGGAAACCGGCACCAGATGACAACCAAGAAACATTTCTCCAGGCAACAGTTCTCTGGCAAAATTAATTATGCCTTCCTCTGGGAACGGGGTTTTGTTTACACAGCTCCACAGGGAGGCCTGCCCGACCTCAAGGACAGCTAGGCATGGTCTCTTCTGGACCACAACAAGCCAGAGCTCCTACATCACGAATCTTTGAATCCTCCAATCCAGTTCAGGGCCTGGCGGGTCAGATCTCATTTACCATCTCCACGTCCTCTCTGGGGAGGAAACAGCAGCCAATGGCAAAGCATAGGAGGGCGCCCACGGGCTCGGGGGAGCACGAAGTTCAGCAACCTAAGGCTCCCGTGAAACTGCTATGAGCCTCTCCTCTGAGATTTACGGTGTTTTTTTGTTTGTGCTCTCCTCACCTCAAATATACTGGACTGATTTTGCAACAGAAATTTCAGGAAGTGCAAGGCAAATAGAATTAGTTGGGCAGTCTCCCTACCACCTCAGCCAACAGAAGTCTTCTCTCTAAAAAAATTGTTTTTGTCTTGTCTCATTACATCCTGATTTAAAAACTCGCAGGGCAATCAGCGTCAGTTTCCCATACTGAAAGCCGGGTCCCTACGGTGACTTGGAAGCGGAAATCCAGGGCAGCCACGAGCATCTCCTTCTAAATAATGTTCCCAGGCAAGTGCTCTGTGACACACTGTCTTTCCCTTCTAGCTCCCTCTGCCCTGATTAAAACGTGCAGCACCTCCACTCCCAGATCCCTACTTTTGCCATCCCGTCTTCCTTTTCTACCACCGCCCAGGGACCTGAACACAAAATGTCACCAGTGCTTCTACAAAGTGCTTGCCTAGCTTTGTTATTTCCCGTCCACGTGCAATCTTTGAGGTTGTGATTCTGTGAGGCTTCCCTTCTCAGGGAACACAGCACGCAGCGCTAGAGCTTAGGACTCAAAAAAGGGGGGTGGGGTGAGAGAAAAATAAGGCGCTCCGCCCCGGGGGTCCGGGACAATGCGCATCAGGACGTACTTGTTATACACACGGTAGATGTCTGGCAGATTTCCCTGAATTTCCACATCTGATCCCGGCCAAAAGTAGGTGCCAGCCTTGAGGCCTTGATATTTAGCCGTGAGCCAAATCTGTGGAAGGTGGTGAAGGAAAGTTAGGGCGTCATCGCTTAGAGAGCACGTGGTCCGGCACCACGGACACATTCCGCCCAAGGCTAAGTAACAGGTTTAGCAGTGGCCGCGGTAATCAGGTAACGTGACTCCTGAACAGCAGCAAGCAGAATTTTAAGTGATCCAGTACTAAATTAAACTAAAAAAGATGGACATACATCAGTGGTCATTTTTTTTAACTTTTAGTGCTATATCCCTAATGAATAGATTTCTCTTGAAAGAAGAAAAATTTACGAATATGCATGCCTTTAACTTATTGACATGTTTGCTTAGGTAACGATCATTTATTAAGCAGGTCCCACTGCCAGCCACAGGTGTCAAATTTTCCTATAAGCATCCTACATCGCTAACTCGTAAAATTCCCACAGTAGCCCTACAAGGTAGTTAACTGAATTATGTGCAGTACACAATGAGGAATCAGAGTCCAAGAAAGAATGAATCGCTCAGTCTCATGCTTTAAAGGTCAGAGCTGAAATCTGAATTCACAGCCAGGTATGGAGGCACACAACAGTAATCCCAAGACTAGGGAGGTTGAGGCAGGAGCGTCGCTTTGAGCTTGAGACCAGCCGAATTACCTACTGAGATCTTGTCTCAAAAAAAACAAAACAATCTAAACTCACAGCCTAGAAATTAAACATAATTCTCTCTATCCTCCTAACAGAAATATCAAGATTGTGCAAACAGACCCTATGCAACTATCTTAGCAATTTAAAAATAAATTAAAAAGGACACGTTCAAATTACAGTCAGAAAAGACCTTCTGAGTTAGTACACTTGCACAGGAAGTCAAGGCTTGCTGCTCTGAGAAGCAAAGTAGTTTTGTGTAGATAAAACTACTCCCTTGTGTACATACTTACAGTATGAGACACAGCATTCTACACACACACACACACACACACACACACACACACACACAGTAGTAGTGACCAAATCAGAATAACTATCATCGCCTTAGAATTACTTTTTTTTTGTCTTTTTAAGACAGGCTCTCACTATGTAGTGCAGGCTGGCCTTGAACTCACGATACAACCCAAGCTGGCCTCAAACTCGCAGTGATCCTCCTGCCTCCAGAGTGCTAAAATTACAGGCATGTGCCACCACGCCCAGCTTCCTTAGAATTACTTTATGTTAATCAAAAGAAAATTTTAATGTTTAAGAAGATGAGAATATTAACTACTCTGATTGATATACATCTAGCAAATCATCATACTGTATCCTATGGATACGTACAATTAAAATAATAACTTTTAAAAGCTCTTACTCTGGACTGCTGCCCCATACTACTGTAAGAAAAAGGAATTGGCTGGAGATGTAGCTCAGTGGATGGGGCCTGGCTGTCATCACAAGGCCCTCCCCGAGAGACACAGAGAGAGAGAGAGACACAGAATGAAGCCGAGAAGAAGAACAGTTAGCGCAACTCTGCAGTAAGCTACTCTCAGACGCATGCAGTCACACAAGCTGCATGTGGGAATGTCAGCAATCATTCCTCCGACGGAAAGTCAGGGGCATAGTACACGAAACAGCTGATTAAAAACTTCAGGGGATCTTTTCACTTCACGCTGATTAAAATAAACAAAAATAATAAAATATTTTAGAACTAAGACCAAGAACTCACTGGCTCTCCTTTGTACCACTGGGGATTGAATTTCTCTTTAGTTTTAAACGAAAAGGAAACATTCATTTCAGGATCATATATCTTATTGTCAATTATCCCATGGGATTCCGGATAAAGTCCCTGAAACAGACAAAACACAGACGTTATCCCTTGTTATACAATGAGGTATTTCTTTCGCATCTGAAATTGAATTATTTCCTCAAAAAACGTTTCAACTGCATCTCACTTCTTAAGTACATGAAAGCTGCAGTGCAGGACTTACTGTGACAATGGTGTAGTGGTTGGGGAAGGTTTTTGTTGGGTACACAGGTCTCATGTTTTTAGTATATGTCCCACAGTTCTCTAAAAGAGAAAGAAAAAACATCATTATTAAGTGCATTTGGCAAACCACTGGCCTCATGTAGCCTTCCTACCCAGCAGTCTAAATCACAGAAAACCGCTGCGCCAGAGGGGGTGCACTGCCACATAAAAGCTCAAGATGAATCTAAAGCACCGCTGTGGATACAAAGCCAATCATAACTATAAGAGCTCTTTTTTCTCTTACTCAGAAAACAGTAAACAACATAATTAAACCCATTAAGCACTTAATCCCTTCTAACCAGTAACATTAAATTCAAGAGGGACACGTTGCAATAACTCAATGCTTGCAAGAGCTTTGATATTAATTAGTAGCCAAATAACTAATTAAAGCAGTAGACAGAATGGCTGCTCCAGCCTCCAAGTCTACTGACACCACTGTTGCTGGCTATTAATGTGATTTAATGCGTCAATATTAAAAAGAGATGATCGCGCTACTTTATCCATAATTTGAGGGATAATCATCAGTTAAGGCTTGGACTAAGATAAAGAAACTGCAAAAATTCAACTTGATCCAAAGTATAACACAGGATAACCACCAGTCCTTCTAAACTATATAGTAGGTAGTACTATCATTTCAGTTTCAAAAACATTATTTCTGAAATTCTGTTTTTAGAAGGAATGTCCATATGATAAATAAATAGGGGATTTTGTTTCCACAGTAAGAATGCAAAATTTTAAGACAACAAATCTGCGTAAAAATGGTTGAGGGTTAAAATCTTAAAATAGTCGTGTTATCTTAGAAGTATGTCAAGGGCAACTTCAGAGAAATTACACTATTAAAGGCCAGCGCCTTGGGATTAGGTTCAATCACTTTGTAATGGAGAAGACTGGCAGAGCAGGTAGGTTCTGCCAGTACTTTTCCAAAACATAGTGGTTCTTTCATCTGTCTTACCAAAATCATGACATGCCAGGAGCCAGCTCTCAAGTTACTCACTTAGTTTGCTAATAACAGGAAGAAGTCCTCCCCAGGTGTGTAAATATTCTGCCCTGAATCCATCCAAAGAAAATAAGAGGGTAGGAGGTATGTCAAACCTGGTAAAGAGAAAGAAAAGAGAATGTTTTAAAGAAGACACATGCGAGAAGATGTGTCCAGGGTGGATTTTTCACAGAGGTCAAATGTAATTTTCATTAAACTAGCAAGTTAGCAAGGACACCCATAAAGGCTATTTCCCCCCCAACCCCCAGTACCAGGAATCGAACTCACGACCTCGAGCTTGCCAGGCAGGCACTGTGCTGCTGAGCTAAATCCCCAGCCCCCAAGGCTATTTTAAATGCCTTTATATTCACATACATACGTTAATCACCAAACAGTGTTTATTAAAACTTCACACCACTCTCAGGTACTATGAACATCATTCGTGACTGCTGTCCTTCCAAAAGCCAGACCAAATGCTACTAAATTACAACAGGACTTCTGTAATTTTCAGGAAAATAAATGGCAATAACCAGCATTGCCTAAATTATATTTTTGTTTCCATTCATTTTTTTCCCCTAAGCAGCCACTTTCTGATACTGTCTTTATCTGACTCTCATACACAGTACCTTACACAGCACACATCATATGCTGTAGTTAGTTTCTACGTCTCATATACTGAAAAGATATAAATATCTAACATAGAAGTCCGAGAAATATTTATTACATTCATATTTATTATTAAACAAAAAGTGACTCACAGGTAGGAATGATCAAAAGATGAGGTCAGACACGTAGACGCTCACAAATACACACAGCTAATGTGAGGAAGCGGGCATAGCTATGTGCTCAGCAGAACAGAGCCACTATGGACGATGGCTGTGTGACAGTCCCCAGGCAGCACAGCTCAGAGATGGGGCATCTGCCTGGGGCACTTGGGAGACGACGGGCAGTCAGCTATTGCTGGCTGACTGTGAGGACTTCCACAGAAAGTCATTGGAGGTTGAGGCAAATACTTGTCTTGAAGGTAGACACCGCTGGACAAGCGGGGATTGGGAGGAGGGAGGGTAATGGGGGATGGGTGTGATCAAAGTATGTTACACCCATGTATAAAAATGCCACAAAGTGCAGTATTTTTCTTAACACAGCAGATTATACCTATCTACCTATCTGTGATTTCCACTGGTGACTGAATCACAGGCACTGCTGATCTTGTAGTTTTTTGCTGCCTTCATGTCCCATTTTTTATTATCTGTACAGTCTGCTTTAGGGAAAACATGAGATTCTTGCCTTTCTGAATCTGGCTTATTTTGTGGATGTTTTTATTCCCATTAAAATTGCCAAAGAAATATCCAGACACTTCATATCTATCAATATTTTGAAATTACATTATGAAGAGTTGCTGCTATATCATTTAATGCATTACTTTTGTGTGTGTGTGTCTTTTTGAGACAGGGTCTCACTATGCAGTTCAGGCTGGTCTTGAGCTCACTCTGCAGCCCAGGCTGGCCTCAACTTTGCAATGATCCTTCTGCCTCAGCCTCTCAAGTGCTGGGATTACAGGCGTGCGCCACCACGCCCAGCCTTTTAATGCATTACTTCTGTTATTTAAAAACATTTGTTATATCAAATTTGTTCACATCAATAACTAGGGTCTTTTTCAACCCTACTCCTTCCTCCTGCCCCATCCTCATACCAAACAGTGTCCCCAGAAAGAGAGAACACTCGTACACAGCGTCTGCTACCTGTCACACGTGCCCTTGGGAAGCTGGAGAACTAGTTGCCTATCTTCCCATGGGTTTGCATGTGTACAAAACCAGATCTATTCACTCATCAGAAAACAAAACAGTAGAATGTGGTAGCGCACACCTCTAATCCCAGCACTCAGGAGGCTGAGGCAGGAGGATTGGTGTGAATTCAAGGCCAGCCTAGGCTACGTAGTAAGTTCATGGCCAACTTAAACTACACAGTGAGACCCTGTCTCAAAATGAAAGTAAAGATCCCTCCTTCCTAAAGATAGAACCTTTGGCAGACAATGTTGGGAAAACTGACTAAATGCCGAGGGTTGAATCTAGACCCGTATCTCTCACACCGTGCACTAAACTAAGATCAAAATGGATCAAAGACCTAAATATTAAAACAGAAACACTTAATATGCTGGAAGATAAAACAGGTAAAATCCTGAAGACACTGGCATAAGCAAGGACATTTTGAACAGAACCCCAATTACATAAGAAATTACATCAGGAATCAACAGATGGGATCACATCAAATTAAAAAGCTTCTGCATAGCAAAGGAAACAACCAACAGAATGAACAGAATGGGGGGAAAATTGCCAGCTATTCCTCAAGCAGAAGACTGATATCTAGGATACATGAAGAACAAAAAAAAAAAAAAAAAAAGAATGAACAGAATGGGGGGAAAATTGCCAGCTATTCCTCAAGCAGAAGACTGATATCTAGGATACATGAAGAACAAAAAAAAAAAAAAAAAAGAAAGGAAAAAAAAAAAGCCCAAAATAAAAGATCCAATTAAAAAATGGTCAAATGAAATGTAGACACTTTTCAGAAGAGGTACAAATGGCCAATAAGCATATGAAAAAATGTTCAATATCTCTGGGCAAATTAACTTAGAGAAACGCAAATTAAAAAAATACTGAGATTCCGTCTTATCCCAGAAAGCATGGCCACCATGCAGAAATCACATAATAACACACGCTGGGGTCGCTGCGGGGAATGAGGAACTCTTCTTCTACATGGCTGGTGGGAGTGTAAACTGGTACAACCACTTTGGAGATCAGTACAGAGACTCCGCAAAAAAACTAAAACTACAAATTCCTCTTGACCCAGCTATTCCCCTCCAAGGTACATTCCCGAAAGAGTTAGACATTATATTACAGTGATCCATGCATACCTACACACTTATAGCAGCACGACTGATATAGCTACATCTTGGAAGTGATCTCTATGTCCATCAACAAAGGAATGGATAAAGGTAATGTGGTGTACAGTATATACACAATGGAGTATTACGCTGCCACAAAGAAGGGTACACTGGAGTCATCTGTAGGGAAGTAGATGCACCTTGAAGCCATAATGCTGAGTGGAATAAACCAGACACACAAGCTTAAATATCGCGAGGTTTCTCTTATACAAGAGACTGAAAATATAAATAAATTAAAGAACAATATGAAAGATAGGTAAGAGGAAAAGAAGGAAAGGGGACCAAGAAATAGGGGGATAAGGAAAGGGGTTAAAAGAATGGAGATGTGTGTGCACGTGCACCAGCTCCTCCCAGTGCAGGCCATCAGTGTGCACTGCAAGTGTGCGCTGATGAAAACAAAAATTTAAACACTGCCAGGCGTGGTGGCACACCTGTAATCCCAGCACTCAGGAGGCTGAGGCAGGAGAATCGTTGTGAGTTCGAGACCAGCCTGAGCTACAAAGTGAGCTCAAGGCCAGCCTGAACTGCACAGCGAGACCCTGTCTCAAAAAGACAAAATAAATAAATAAATAAATAAATAAAGAATCACCGTGCTGTTCACAAAAAAGATCCATCCTTCCTAAAGGCAGAAGACAACGGGATTCCACCCAGCAATCATGAACAATAAAAACTAACAACTCACGCCCTTCCTCTTTTCTCATCAAGGACTCAGACACTAACCAACTGTGTCCCAGCAGGGCCAAACACAGGACCTACCTAAACATCAGATGTAATGAACCACTGGTTGATGATTATTTTTATCTACTCACTGTAATTTGAAAAGAGAGAGAAGAAAGGTCCTAAAAAAGACAAAAAGTACATCTCAGAATATAATCTTACCCTTCCGGGCACTGCGGCTTGTTAATTCTCTCACACGGTTCTTCCATCCAGCTTTTCTCATCTGAAATATTTTCAAGAAATAAAATGAGCACAGCTGATGATTGTGATGCTTGTGAGACACACTGAGATGGAGTCCTAAGCATGACACGTTAACAGACGCACGGACCACTCGGGGCATGGCACCAGAGGGGCAATGCATAAATAAAAGGAGTTACTCGTGTTGCTTCAAAATAAGAGTTAGCTGATTGTCAGGGAGAGACGAATGGATATGGCAAGACTGAAATATACTACAGTCAGCCCTTAGTATCTGCGAATTCAATCAACTGCAGACCAAAAACTTTTTTAGAAAGAGCATCTGTACTGAACATGTGCATTTTTCCTAAGCAAAATGCCGTAAGCAATATTTGCACAGCATTGTATTGCATGGGTATTATAAGCAATCAGGGTCGTTTAAAGTACGCAGACGGCATGCACAGGTTATATTAAAGACTGCAATCTGTTGCTGCTTGAGGCAGGGTCTCCCTGTATGTAGTTCAGGCTGGCCTGGAACTCTCTACGTAGCCCAGACTGGCCTGGATCTCAGGGTGAGCCTCCTGCCTCAGCCTCTCAAGAAGTGAGATTACAGGTATGCACCACCATGTTGGGCCCTATGAAGATTTATTTCCGAGACTTGTGTATCCTTGGATTTTGGTATCAAACATTCTAGAACCAATCCTCCATGGATACAGAGGACTAATGGTACTATATTTGTGATGATTTCAGTATCTTTTTCATTTTCAAAATCTTAATATTTTCTTTTTTCTTTGATACCGGGAATCCAACTCAAGACCTTGCACTTGCCAGGCAGGTGCTTATGCCACTGAGCTAAACCCCCGGCCTAAATCTCAATATTTTCAGTGAGAATTTATAACCGTCCTTCCACCCATCCTACCTAAACTTTGGTACTGTGAAGCCTGAGTTCTCTCGCAAGGATTCTGGTTCTGTCAAGCAGTTCCAAGGAACCCTGTATTCCTGACCATGACATCCTAATACTATCAGCTTACAAAATCGCCTTGCAAAGTAACTTCATAGGACATCCTCAGTTGTGGCCAACGCCGTCCTTGAGGACTGGAAGGAAACCTGGAACCTAAATGCAGCCAGAACTAGGAAAGTGCTCTTTTCACAGACAGACGGGGCGCTGTCGGGAGGGCTAGGGCTGGCCACAGGTACACAAGATTGGCCGGGCACATACAGGTAATACTACTTATTAGGCTTAGTGAGGGCATCAGGTTCATAAGCCACTCTCTCTACTCATGCCTATGTTTGAATGTTGTGTTTGTTTTTAGGGTTTTTTTTAAGAGGAGGTCTCACTATGCAGTTCAGGCTGGTCTTGAGCTCACTTTGTAGCCCAGGCTGGCCTCAAACTCACGGTGACCCTCCTGCTTCAGCCTCCAAGCATAGGGATTATGGGCGTGCTCCACCACACCCAGCTCTGAGATACTCTAATAACATTCAGCTCATATAGACAGCCAGACAGCCGAGAACTATGCCAACTAGCAGAGGAGATAACACCAGTGCACAGCCCCGGGGACAGAGCAAGGACAGAAGCCGACCTTGGCACACAGAGCTGTAGTTGACGCAGCAGTCCTCGTGGTCCTTGCAGTCGTCTGAGCAGTAGCAGAGGTTCCCGGGCACCCTCTTCTCACCGCACCGGAACTTGTTGCAAGTCCATATCTGTGCTGGAAACAAAGGCCAACAAAACACACCTCGTGGTCCCGCTGGGCATCGGAAGTGGGCAAGAGTTCCGGCTTCGGAAGCGGAGCCAGGAGAGAGGGACCCGCTCCTTCCCCATGTCGGGGTCACCTGCACCATCGCCAGCCCTGAGGTGGCTCAGAGCCCACAGGGGACCCAGGCGGGCACCCCGTTTCTGTTTGGCTGAGAAACAGAAGCTCCCCATTCCGTGCTTGGACGCACAGTTCTATCACGCAGCACCTAGGAAGACCAGGGCTGCAGCAGCGGCCGCTTTCAGGATTCTCTGAACCGAAATCTGACTCGTTCCCACCGCGGTAGCATTCCGTCCTGTCCTACCTAGGGCAGTCTCCGCAGACCTTCATTTTCCGCTGGGTTTATTTTAAAATGCAAGGGAACATCTAAAACCTGTCGCCTCAGCCAGCCCAGCACGAAAATATTTCAAGCAGCCTTTAGGACTCAGTTTAAATGCACATGAGGCTATCAAGGCTTTCAGCATTCATTAAAAATAGGCCTGGTTTTGTGAGTCACAAGATGTTTAGCAAAAGTAAATTATGTAAAACGTTTTTTCCATGGAACTATAAGTATAAATGATAATGTCAAAATATATGTACATCCTAAAGAAGATGTAGTGTTCCTACACAGTGGGGTACTACTCTGCCATAAAGGATAAACCTGAGACACGTCTAGGCAAACGGACGCTCTTTGACACCATACTTTTAAGTGAAATAAATCAGACACAAACACATCGCACTGTTTCCTTTGTGTGAGAAACTAAAAGGGTAAATCAGGAGCAACGTGGATAGATACCTGGGATAATGGGGCAGACAGTGGGAAATGGGAGGAAAATTTTCAAATCGGAAGGGGAACAAGGGAGGGGGAGGGGAAAGAAGGCAGAGAGAAGGGAAAATAAAGAGATTGGAATGGAAAAACGGAAACAAAGCTTTTGTAAATAGGGAGGGGAAGAGGGGTCGAAGAGGGGGGGATGGGAAGAAAGAATCAAGAGATACCAGGTTCAGGTACAAATTCCCTATGATGAATGGATCACTGTGTATATCTAAAGAATGCCAGTAAAGTTAATTTTTAAAAATATACACACAAGCTGGGCGTGGTGGTGCATGCCTATAATCCCAGCACTTGGGAGAGGCTGAGGCAGGAGGATCGTTGCATGTTCGAGACCAGCCTGGGCTACAAAGTGAGCTCAAGGCCAGCCTAACTGCATAGCGAGACCCTGTCTCAACAACAAAAGAAATATATATATATATATATATATACACACATCCTAAATTTTAAACAAGCAAACTCGAGTGTGTTACGTACATCAGTGTGAGAGATACGGAGCTTCCTGCGATCTTCGCTGACCTCCCCGAGCCCACCAGCCCACTCCCAGTGCCTCCTTACCCGGCTCTAAACACGTCTCCTGGTAGTCCAGGCAGCAGTTCCCAAAGTCCACGCAGGCAGCATCGCAGCGGCAGTTCCCAAAGGTTCTCTCAAAGCAGCGGCCTTTGCAACTTTTTACTGAGAACAGTGAACAGGGTTGCGTGTTTCCAACTGCTCTATAATTAATTACACAGCAGCGTTCATAACGCAGACGCCCAGATTAGGCACAGAATAGGGTCACACGTTGCTCTAGAGAACACCGATGGGTGACAGTGACCCACAGCTCCTGTCACTAAGACCCATGAAAAGGGACAAGAAGAGACCCTTCCACACAGAAATGCAACTCTGTCTCTCGCTATAGACAGAAGAAAGCTTTTTAAAAAAACTTCATTACACAGCCTACTGGGCCGGATCAAACTTGGTAATCGTGTATAATAAAGGAATAAAGACACGTTCTGAAAAGTTTTCTGCTACGAAAAGCTGGTTAAGGAGCTATGAGGTTCCCCAAAATTTCAAAATGTGAGAATATTTTTTTTTTAAACAGGGTCTACTATGTAGCTCAGGCTGGCCTTCAACTTATGATCTTCCTGCCTCAGCCTACTGAGTGCTGCTGGGACTAGAGAAGAATGAACCACCACTCCCAGCGGGAAAACAATTTTAAAAGTGATTATCTAGGGACACTGCAGCTAGGAAAAGAACCCCTGCCTCACCCGTCTCCCTCTTGCTGTAAGGTAGTGGTAGTGTGTACGGAACACGCTCCCAGCACCGCCCCTTCTACCAAAACCTAAAATGTCCATTTCATCAGCACAGCAGCCTGTGCGCTTTCGCCAAGCCTTCCCAGAATCCCCGGCCCACACCTGATCTCTTTTAAGCTCTCACGAACCTCGTCCTCCACGATCATGTGATTCCATCTGGAACTAGCTCATTTGGTGACTGTCCCAGACTAATACTAGACTGCAGACTTCCTAAGGCCAAAGACCACATCTGGATTTTGCTCAGGGTATTGTAACCCTGGTACCCAGCAAGTGCTTGATGTAGAGTTAGTACTAGTACTAAGTCTTTGCTAAATAAATAAATGGCACATATGGAAGGAAAATACTTTTCATTAACAATAGCAATTTTAGAGCCAGATGTAGTGAAGTTTGCCTGTAATTCCAGCATTCTGGGAGCTGAGGCAAGGAGGGTCACCCCAGGTTCGAGGCCAAGCTGGTCTACAGAGTGAACGCAAGGCCAGCCTGGAACACACTGTAAGATTCTGTCTCAAAAAACAGTAATAATACATTGAAAATAAAATATTAATTTTATTTTACTATCTTGTATATTTATAATTCTACTCTTGTAACTCTTTCCTGGATCCCCTGGCTAAAGCAGATTTTTACTGGATTACTAGGAAATTAGGATAACGAGAAAAAGATAAAAGAAACTACACATAAAATAATGGTTATCTAACTAAAAAAATAAAAAGGGTAAGAATAAACAATTCTTGACTTTAATGGTTCCCTGGTGCCACAAAATAGCTGCCATGGAATTTAAATCTCATGCCACACTGGTAAATCAGGTAATTTTAAGAACAAAAAGTAACAACAGTAATTTCTTCGGTCAGAAATACTAACCTTCCTGTCTCACGAGGAAGGAAAAACTATCGTAATAACTATTACTTGAAGCTCACTAACGTGCACCTAGCAAATTTCAAAACTATCATTAATGCCATGTTGGGCTTAGATAAAATTGTAATCCTTTATGTTGATGACAAATTACAATCAAAGCAAAATATTTCATATGATGAACAACTATAGTTTTGTTAAAATTAAATATATTTGTTCCGAATACTCTAACTAAATAAAATTACATTTCATTCATTTTTAACAATATGTGATAGCCTAACAATCACTCAAGTTTTTTAAATGGTTAATTTGACAATTACAGAATAATTGAACAGGAAAAAAAAAAAGGGTTGCTCAATTTTGAAAAGTGAATTCCCAAGGAAAAGCACGCATGATTTTACAGGAGGAAAGGTAGCTCAGGGCGAAAAGAACAACCACTACAACATACTACGATTGAGTTAGAGAACTTAGTCTTTTCGAAGATGGGTAGATTTTAGCCCTGGATATAAAGAAAAACATAATCAAAAGCTCAACAATTTCACTATTACGTTGAAACCACCCATGTCTATAATTTTAAAAACCCCAAGAGTGGGTACTGATCAGTTTCTGGTTGACCAGGGATGTCAAATGGTTACCTAGCAACCTCCAGGGCTGCTTTAGCAACTAACTCCAGGGGAAAGTATCCCTGGGTCCCTGCGGACAGGGTTCTAGGGCAAAGTACAGGGACCTACTACTGGCCCTGTCTGCTTGTGTCTTTGTTCTTACGTGATTCTTTTACTGTTTTGGACTTTTTGTAGTTGTTTTATGGTCATAGCCCTCTTTCTTGCTTTGCGATAAAATTTTGCAAGCAAATAAAATTTTGTATGGCTAAAATAATACAAGAGCTTCAAGAGTCAAATCCTCCTCCTCAAATTTTCAGTATCTGCCAGGCATCATGGCACATGCCTGTAATCCCAGTACTGAGGAGGCTGAGGCAGGAGGATCACCATGAATTCAGGGCCAATCTGAGCTACACAGTGAGTTCAAGGCTAGCCTGAACTACAGACACCCTGTCTGAAAACAAAAAGAATTATACTATCTGTGAAATAAGCATAGGATCATGATATAACATTTATCGCAATGACAATGAGAATTAAGGCTGGAGAGAGAGACACAGAAAGAGGGAGAGAGAGAGAGACAATGAAAGGGAACGAGAACTAATTACCTTCTTTGGCACAGCTTGGTTTCAACCCAAATATACAGCCGAGGATTGTGGTTAACACACATACCGACAAGACCTGTGTGGAGAAAAAAGGAAGTAAGACAGTGTCGATGCCCCTTCTCTTTCTCAGAATATCTTATTTCTCTAAATATTTCCTAAGCTGCTGGTGCTAGTGTGTTCCCCGATGTGGCTGCGGTCATAGGAATGTGCTCAATGTTTCGAAATGTCAAACATACTTGTGATTTATATTCCGTCCTGCACATTTTAGTTTAATGCAAAGATTTCTTAAATGTCAGCAGATAATTCTAGATCACCCAAAGTGAGTGTAATGAGAAAAACCTCCGAGAACCGAAACGAATGCCTGTTTTTCAGGCATGCAGAGTGCAAGAGACTTGGTGTCCTAAAGGCTCCCCCCGCCCCACCCCGCGAGCTTTCAGGAGAAGCCCTGGGAGCCCAGAGGACCGTGTGTAACGCAGTTACTGTCACTGCCAGGAGCCTCTGAGAGGGTGATGCCTGACCTGGGGAGGGCAGTTAAGGGTGCAGTGGAGGCCCCAGGAAGTCAGAGCGGCCAAGAGCGTGGGTCACCTACCGGGGTAGCAGTGGGTACTACTGGTTTAGCGGGCCCAAGCCTTTTGGAGCTCGCACAGCACCACAACCTGCCACACATGCTGGACGTGGAGCTTCTGGATTTAACATTTGCCCTGCTGGGCTCCGGTCTTACTCTGCTTTGATTTCTTTCCTTGCCCTGTTCCTCCCTTTCAGGATAGGAACGTTTACTCTGTGCCATTGTATATGGGATATATTAGCTCTCTTTTTAATGTTCACAGGGGCTCACAGCTGTTTGCTTTGAATCTCAGGGAAGACTTTGTACTCGGACTTCTCAGCAGCACTGCAATTACTAAAACTTTGGCAACTTAGAGCTGCACTAAGTGCATTTTGCACAATGAGCTGGGCATGAGCCTTTGGGGGACTCAGCGTGGAATTTTATGGTTTAGATCTAACAGTCTCGTGTTCAGAGGTGGGATCTGGGCCCAGGGGCAAGACCAGAAAGGATGCATTCTTGTCCCTGGCTCCTCTTCTCTCCCTGCTTCCTGGCTGCTATGCGTGGAGTACATTTCCTCCACCATCCCCTCCGCCATGCTATTTCTGCCTTGGAGACAACCATGAACTGAACCCTCCGAAACATAAACCAAAAATAATCCTCTCCTCCTGTAAGTTATGGGTGTTGGGTATTTTATCCCAGAGATGGGAAAGAGACTAACACTTACAGCAAGATGGATGGTGCATGTGTAGATGTTTATGCATTTATTCCTTAAAAAAAATACTGAGTACTGACCCTATGCTTTTAATATATTAAACTGTATTACTGTATATTAATTGTATATTAAATGTACATATGATTTAATATATTGAATAATAATTTAATATATTATTTTAGTATAATATATATTCACAGTCAAAGATGATCTGAAAATATTATATAGAAAAATCCAGAAATAAATAAATTTGTAAAGAATGGATAAAGATGTGGATATTATATTTATATATAATGTTATATACGTAAATATTATATATTTATATATAATGTTCTACACTGTCATAAAGAAAGACAAACTTGAGTCATTTGTAGGAAACTTGGTGCACTTTGAGACCATAGTGTTAAGTGAAATAAATCGGACACACAAACTTAAATATCGCACGGTTTCTCTTATGAGAAACCCAAACTATAAGTAAAGACCAAAATAAAAGTAGGGAGCCAGATCTGTCTCAAATCAAGAAAAGGAGAGAGAGCCGGGCGAGGTGGTGCACCCCTGTGATCCCAGCACTTGGGAGGCTGAATCAGGAGGAGCACCTCGAGTTTGAGGCCAACCTGGGTTATAAAAAGAGTTCAAGGCCAGCCTGAACTGCATAGTGAAACCCCGTCTCAAAAAAAAGACAGAGAAATGTAAAGAGAAGGAGGAGCATGAGAAAAGCGAAGGTGATGTAAAAAAGAATTAAAATGTGTTACATACATGTACCGGCTCCACATAGGAACATAAGTATTACAGACTGCAAGCACAGACAAATAAAAATAAGTGCACTAGTTAAAAATGTGAAGTCAACACCACTGTGAGCGATGAGATATCGCACCCTGTGCCCTACCCTGCCCTGGACACCACTGTGTCACTTTGGCCAGCGCGTCTCTGCCGCATGTACTGCCCACCCGTGAGCTACTCTGGCTTCATCCAGTGGCAATGTGCAGGTCCCACAATCACCACAGCTGTGTCTTCCACAACTTCACTTACTTTGGATTTAAATGTCACTTCCAAGAGGATTACTTTTCTTTCTAGAACTTCCATTCTTTATCAGTCAGCTTCCTTCCCATTACCCATGGTTATCAATCGTGTGTAGACTTACAAGGAAGCAAAGCTGTACCACACCTCCCTGCTCTGCTGTCTACACGTGAACCACCTGACCCACGCCTGGTGGTCGATCCCAGCCACACTTTGTCTGTTTCGTTGTTTGTTTGTTGGTCTTTTTGAGACAGTCTCACTATGCAGTTCAGGCCGGTCTTGAACTCAGTTTGTAGCCAGGGCCAGCCTGAACTCGCGACGATCCTCCTGCCTCAGCTTCCCGAGTGCTGGGATTACAGGTGTGTGCCATCGCGTCCGGCTCCCCACCACACTCTAAAGCAAGGGGCACAGGTGGTCCCTGACCATGGAATGCACCTGTTTTCTACATAGTACCCTGTGGGCTGATAAGCAGCGAAGTTTGCACCTTGTGAAATCACAGTTAATGCACCCTAGTCACTGGAGTTGGACGGATGCTGCTGGGGAGCTCGTTATTAAACACTTGTAACTGAAACCGAACATGTCCAAGACTCAGCAGAGCTAGTACAGCTATATATACTCTTACGAGCGGGCAGTACAGTGCTCTGAAGATATCTATTTCAAAAGTGCATTCATTCAAAAAACAAAACATCTCATTTAAGGAAACTGGCTTAATAAGTCACATTTTATTTATGTAATGGGATACTCCTAAGGCATTGGCTTCAGGGAGAGGCAAGCCAGAAGGCGGAGAGGAAGATACCAAAACAAAAAACAAAAAAACCCACACACGCACAAGAACCGGAGCGACAGCCACTCGGGAGCGAGTGGTGAAGAAGCGCTCAATCTCCATGGCCCAGTAAGAAGCCTCTGGGGGAAGCAAGCCTTCTGCATTGTTGGTGGGACTGTAAATTACAATGGCCCTGTGGAGATCAGTACGGAGATTCCTCAGATCTGCAACTCAAAGTTTCATTCGACCTGCTATTCCCCTTCTAGGTATCTTCCCAGAAGAGCTACAGACATCGTATCACAGGGACCCGGACACACCCATGTGTACGGCAGCGCCACTCACAACAGATCAGTCTTGGAAGCAGCCTGTACGCCCACCCACAGGTGAATGGACGAAGAAAATGTGGTGTCTACACGCAATGCAGCACTACACTGCCACAAAGCAAGGTAAACTTGAGTCACCTGCAGGAAACGGACACACCTTGAGACCACGGTGTTAAGAGAAATAAATCAGACACGCGAGCTTAAATATCGCATGGTTTCTCTTATGTGACAAACCCAATAATTAACAATTAATAAAGAGCCAACCAAGGGGCTGGGGGTTTAGCTCAGCAGCAAAGCACCTGCCTAGCAAGCGCAGGTCTGAGTTTGATTCCTGGTACGGGGAAAAGAACCAAAAAAATAAAAATAAAAATAAAGAGCCAACCAGAAGACTGATAATGGGAAATATGGAGACAGATCTTTTGCAAATGGGAAGGGGGTGGGGATATGGCTCAGCGGCACAGCGCCTGCCGGGCAGGTGCGAGGTCGTGAGTTTGATTCCTGGTACCAAAAACAAGGGGGAAGGGGACCAAGAGATGGGAGGGAGTAGGAGGAGAGGAGGAGGGAAATAAAGGGAAGTAAGTTGAGAGAGAGGGAGAGGGGGGGAGGGGAGAGAGAGCGGCAGGGGAGGGGAGGAGGAGAGAAGGAGAGGGGTGAGGAGGGGCATTGGCTGGAAGCAGGAAGTCCAGGTGGGGAGAGAGCACCTCCCATGTGATGGCAATAAATCAGACGGGACAATGAAGACCAAGTCAACACGGGAAGAGTGAAGAGAACCTCAGGCTCAGAAGCCCAGCTTAGTCTGTCTGCAATTTCAGACTGCGATGCAGCTAAGCAGCCTGCAGTTCCAGGAGCGGAGTGCAGGCCGATACAAGGATGGCCTGGGCTCGGGGCAAGCCAGGGCAGACTCAGGCCCAGAGGGAGGGCGCTGCAGAACTGCGGAACGAGTGGGGGCAGGTATCTGCCGGCTGCAACCACTGGCTGAAAGGATGCATGGTTTATGGGGCCCTATGTCCCTTGTTAAGTAGAACACACAATTTGATTTTTAAAAACCACCTCTTCCTTGTTAAAAGCAAGTTACTTCAGTTGGCTGTAGTGGCGCATGCCTATCATCTCCACACTCCGGAGGCTCGGGCAGGAGTTTGAGACCAGCCTGGCCTAGAAAGTGAATCCAAGGCCAACCTGAACTGCAGAGTGAGACCCTGTCTCAAAAAGACCACCAACAACAAGAAAGTTACCTCAGTTTACCTCCCGCAAGGTAATGTGTAGCGTGGCACTGATACACACAGGACAGCAGAGTCCTTCTCCAGTGTGGGCACAGCTGTAAGATGAAATCTGGAACAGCTGCTCCTCCGCTACAAAATCCCCCGTCAGAACAGTTTCCGTAGCAAATCTCTGGTCATTTCTGGGGCTGTGCGTTTCACTGAGTTTGAATTTTCTTCTCAAAGTCCGTCAGCGATGTCAAAGCCTACCACCCATTTTTATCTCTACAACAATGTAGATATTTGTATATTTTTACACGTTTTTAGAAACTACAGAAAACATGAAATAAAAGTAAAATTGCTAGAAAGTTTTGCTTCTATGTTAGAAAAGAATATCTGGAGTCTCCTACTATTTAGCTAGGGCCCCTCACTCATATTTCTTAAACATTCAGGGCACCCGGAAATAGACATATTTAATGATCCAATGTTTTCTTATTGATTCCTTCAACTACATCAGCATT